CTTGCGCGCCCGGCTGCTGTGGAATTGCGCCTGATTCCAGGGAGGCCTCTCGGGACAGGAGCGGGACCAAACCAGACGTAGCCCCAGCGAAGCCCCTACTAACGGGGTTTCTGCCGGGCGGCTCTCGGAGGCGGGGGCAGTTTGGGCCTGGGGCCAGAGCCAGGTGGGAGGAGGTCTGAGGGGCTAGACGGGGACAGAGGGGGCAGGGCCCGCTTGATTCCCAACTCGTGACCCTGGCCCTGGCAGCTCCAGCCGGGCGCTGGACTTGGGGGCAGGTTCATCACCAGCGCAGCCCCTACTAACGGGGTTTCTGCCGGGCGGCTCTCGGAGGCGGGGGCAGTTTGGGCCTGGGGCCAGAGCCAGGTGGGAGGAGGTCTGAGGGGCTAGACGGGGACAGAGGGGGCAGGGCCCGCTTGATTCCCAACTCGTGACCCTGGCCCTGGCAGCTCCAGCCGGGCGCTGGACTTGGGGGCAGGTTCATCACCAGCGCAGGGAATTACTGAGCGCTCGCACCAGCAATTTAGCTCCATTCTTTTGGTTTAATTGAGAGGAAAAACCCTTCCCGAGCCTGCCCCTCCAGGAGGCAGGTCCGGGCACCCCACAGCTGCAGCCGCCATAGGGGGCTTAAATTCCCCCCTCCTCCCTGCTGGGGCTCCCCTCGCACACAAGTACACCGGGGTTCTGATCTGCCCCTCACTCCTCACCCCGTCCTCTTGCAGGCCTGGCCCCCCTGCAATCCCCATAGAAACCCTCCCTCCTTTCCCTCCTGCAGGCCTGTCCCTTCTGGGCCCTCCTCGGGACCCCTTTGTTTTCTCCTCTCCCCCCACTTTAGGCCTGCCCCTCTGCTCCTCCCTCTCTATTCCCCCCATACAACCAGTCCGGCGGCTCCTCCGATCTTGAGACTCTTTCTCCCCCTAGAGGAGTCACGCAGGTTGCAATTCACTGGGGCTCGCACCGAGCCGGCACGAGGCCCCCCTTGGTTTTGGCTCGGAGAGAGAAGGTCCCTGTCTCGCCCCGCATCTGAGGTCTAGGGAGGCCCCTAAGATTGTTTCCTTGAGTGGCACAGTGAAGGAATGTGACCCAGACAGAGCCCTTCCTTTGCTTCCCAGCTGGAAGGCTGCAATAGGGATAAAAAGGAGGGGTCATAGTTTCCCCTTTCCCCCCCATCGAGACAGTTCTCCCTCCCCTCCAGTCTCTGTAATCTCTTCTGCCCAAGACCTCCGGAGATGTCCCCTGTCACAGAAGCTCTGCTGGAGATTACAAGGCTTGGGAGGAAGCTTCTGGGTCCCCTGCTCTGAAACATCACAGAGGTGGTCTCCCCCCCACTCAGTGCCCATTCCCTGTTTCCTGTGCCACAGAGTCCCCCTCCTGAGCACAGAAGTGGGATCCCAAATCCCCCTTTTTGTTCCAGTTGCTAGTAAGGACCCAAGAGTCTCTCCCCTGTGCAGGGCCCCCTCCCTGAGATCCAACCCACTCCATGTCCCAGGTGGTATGAGTCAGTAGAGGATTCTCATCTTCTTTTTAAACCCACCCCAAGGATACAAAACCCTTCCACAGACCTTCCCCCTCCCCAGCCAACAAACAATGCTGCTCTCTCTTCCTGTTCATCCAGGTGGGAAAAGGTGCTGGACACCGAGCCACTGAGAGTGGAGAGCTGATGTCTCCACCATATGTCTCTTAGCTCATCATTCCCTTAACACCAAGATCTGCTTTGCTTTCTCTGTTTGGCGATTTAACATGTCAAACACCAGCTGTTAAAGTAAAAGAGGCAGTTTCCCCAAAGGAAGGGTTTTTTTGCCCCTTGCACTGAGTAGCACATTGCACATTAGTGCAAGGTTGGCTTTGAACCCCAAGCTGGCAGGATCCAAGGACCAGGGTGCATAAAGAAAGGGTCTTTCTGTGTTTTCTTTTACCAGTATAGTTTATAATAACAATATCTTCTTTCTTTGTTCCCTGTCATCCTTCTCCTAGGCAGTTTGCTAGTATGAGTATGTAGAGTACATTCTGTTCCTTAGCACCAAATTCCAATGTTTTTGGCTAGATTATCAGGCTCAAATAGCTGGCAATGCTGCTTGAGTTGTTTTTTCTACAGTGTTTTTAATGGGGGGGGGGGGGAGGGAAGAGAGCATAGGACTAGTTATTACTTAGAGTGGCCAGACAGAGATTCATAGGGAGAAGGACATAATGGCCGTCATGCATCATTTGGTGGTTGGTGGAGTCTCTGGGTGGGAAGGCTCAGTGGCCAGCCTTCTGAAGGCTAAAAAGGGACTTAGTGCCCATCTTGAGGGCTTGCTGGTTTTCTTTGGCCCCCCAAGCAGTAGTCTCATTCATTTAAGACTTTCCCATTTGACTGACATTTCACTGAATTCCATTTCTGAACTTGTCTCATGGCGGGAAGCCCTCAGCTTGCAGTTCAGAGGAGACTTGGAATTTGGGTTGTCTAACACATCTTCTGTGAGCTACACAGGGATGGCACACAAAGAACAGGAGCAAAAGTGCCTGAAAAGGAGAGAGGGTAACGAGGGAGTTTATTCAGGGTTATTTCTTTGCAATGAGGTAATCTATAGGAGAGTCCCTGCTCTCCCCATCTCCATAAAAATTCCCCTCTACCTACTGAATATCTTTTTAGCCAGACCCTGGTAGGTATCTAGATTCTAGCAGAGTTATGTACCATTTTTGGTCTAATATATTTGATTTAAAGACGGAAGCCTAAGTACCACACCCCAATATGAATGGCTGTTGGCACTAATCAGGAATGTTTATATCAAGGTAGGCATCATAAAGGAATCCATTCCGCTGGCATAACAAGAGTGAGCAGCAGCCACCCCATGTACCTCTTCAATCCTTTTGTGCCATTTCCTTTTTTAAAAAAGGAGACAATAGTTTTGCAGGCCCCAAATGAGAAATTTTTGTTTTTATTTTATTTGGGTACTTACTGAGTGAGTGGAAGAAGAGGTAGGGAAGTAAATGATAACAAACAGGATATAATATGTATGGGATATTTTCAAAGAGCAAATGATTAAAGTCTATCTGGGGCTTGAAGGCAAGCCAAGATTTTGTTTTGAGAAGATTTAGAATTGCTATTATTTATACTGGACCACAAACATACACAACTTTCTATAGAAAATGTTAAAACCAGGGTCCTCAACCTCAAACTCTCTGCAATCCTGGGATTTGTTCTGTTGGAGAGCGCTGTGCCTGTATCATTGCAATACAAGGAAAACAGGCTTTGGTTCTTCAGAAAATAATTTGATGATTTTCATAATCACTCACTGACTTGTCACTTCTGGGAGGATTAAAAAAGATTTAGACTGATGCTCATGGGTCTTTTCCATCTCTAATTTCTGAAATTTCTGTAATTCTATGAGTGGAATTCTTTATACAACAATACTAAATAGTGTATTATCCTACCTCTTTTTCATCGCGCCAATTTCCCTGAGCAATATAGTTTTAGTTAATCTTCTTCCCAGCATTGAGGAGGAGAATGTAGCTATGAAGGAGATTGAAGTACATAGTGTGATTCCATGTTTGGCAACCAGTCTTCAGTACCCAAGCTAGAAGAAGACTCTGATGTGTTCCATTCAGCTTAATAAATGCAGCTTCTACTGTCCTCTTTTGTGTCTCCTTTTCCCCTCAAATTCAGGCATTGCCAGTTTTTTTCCCCGCGAAAACCAAGTTTAAAACTCAGCAGAAAAAATACCCCTCATTGCTGAAACTTGGCATGTGATGGTGTATGTGGGTGTAATTTTGGCTGTTTAAACAAATTATAGGAGTCTAAAAAATAGAAGTTTTGAGGTTTCAGATGCTTTTTACATGTCGCTGAGACAAACATGCCTTTGTTTTTCAAATTCAAATTTTTCAGGCCTTACTCCATAACTTCCTGGCCTTTGAAAAGTCTCAAAAATGCTGAAGTTTGCAAAGCAATCACTGCACATGCTGACTAATTGGTTTCTGTAATGTTTGTATACATTTATTATGTTATTAGTACAAAAGGCACACATGCATATTATGAACAGTTTGTTAAATTCATTTCAACACCTGTTTTTTAAACAGTTCCAATTGGATAAATAATCCATATCTGAAATACGGCCATACCTATCAGCTGCATTACATTGTGTTGGATCAGTAATGATGGACAATTTTAAAAACCTGTGTTTATATGTTTGGACAGCTGGATCAATAATTCACATTTTATAGCTCCCAAGATACATATTTATCCATTTTTGAGCCATTTTGGTAGAGTGGATGAATAATTATCAAGGGAGAGTATAAAATGAAGATTACAGGGATTTTTCCCTTTTTTAACATAAAACTTTTTTAAAAAATTGAAAAGAGAGGCTGTAGATACCTGAGCACAGAGAGGTGAATTAATGACCAAATGTCAGAATAGATTTCCAGACATATCGCTGAGTTTTCTTGTGGGTTTAGTCTTGATCCTTAATGTTATTTTAAGAGGATTTTTTTGTGGTTTACTGTATGCATATATAAAATCAAAATAATACCTTTGGCTTATGAGAATATTTTGGTTGGCGTGCAACTTTTAGTACTATTTGGTAATTATTGTAATGTTCCTTCACTCCTAAACATTCTTTGCAAGACTTGTTACTGATTTTTTTTCAGATCTATCAGGCAGCCTTGTTAAATTATCTCAAATGGATACATGGAAAATTGAATCTCTGAAGCACTATTTTAAAAGAGATTTTGTTTTTAATTAAATGTAACTATACAGAGAATAGTTTTGTAAATGTATATTTTCGATTTGGCACGCTACTGATATATTTTAGAGGTATATTTCTTTAACTAGTCAAATTATAGTCATAATTTTCTGTCTGGTACACACAAACTTTACTCCTGTAATAGTGTTTTATTTAATGGTCTCTCTTGTATTCTACAGGGTTTAGTTTGATGGAGGAAATAATTATAATTTTAACTAGTCTATTCCATCAAGATTTAAGTGGACTCTATTTAGCAGCTTTCTGTGTGCAGTACAATGCAATTTATGGTGATGCAAAGTGCAGTAAAACACTTTACAGAGTTGAGGACAGCTACTGTCCTACAGACAGAAAGTCATGGAATGGATGTGTGGAGATGGAGAAGAGAAAAAAAGGAAAAAGACCTGACATTTTAAAAGCAGTAAAGATGCAGGTGAGGATTCTTGCAGATTAGTTTTTGTAAGGGAAGAATAGACAGATCAAGGAATGGAGGGGAAGGCAAGTAGGGTTTCTATCATTGCAATACATGCCATCGTATGTTCTTTTAATTGCTGCACTTAGATGATTCACAAATAATGTTCGTCACAGAGTGATGGATTTACACAACCATTTCCTTCTTGTCTTTAGCTTTAAGTTGCAATGAAAATGATGGTGACCACCTGGACAGAGACCAGCAATACCCCAGTAATCAAAAAACAAAGCGCATGAGGACATCGTTCAAACACCACCAGTTGCGGACAATGAAGTCTTATTTTGCTATTAACCACAATCCTGATGCCAAGGACTTGAAACAGCTAGCTCAGAAAACTGGCCTGACCAAAAGAGTTCTTCAGGTACGAAAAGCAAAGACTTCTGTCTCTAGTAGTAAATAAAATATCAATCCCAGGTTTGACCAAGATCAGTTGAAACATTGTGAATAATACCTCTGTACCTTGTGAATGTCCAAATGTTTCTTACTTGTTGGTATGCTCTGTGATGCATGAATAATCCCAGGGAGTATGAGAGAATTTTTTTACAGCCTAGCAGAGTAAAATATCGTGAGTTCTAATTTTTAGAGTATAGTTGGGTAAATTAGGTGTCTTGATTATTTTATCAAACAGTTAGTTACATCTGCCATGCATTTTCCTTCAGTATTCTTTTAAGGAGAAGTGAATGATTTTAGTTGCCATATTCCTTTTCTAGGTAAATAACAGGATAGAAGTTTAGAAATCACTATGAAAGAATAATAGCATAAGATATTAAACAGAAATATGGGCCTATTTTGTCAGTCAGGACAGACCAGACATCTCGGCTTTGTAGCTGAAGTGAATAAAAGTTTTATTTTTTTCAAAGATTAAAACCCATTAATTTCTCTTTCATAGTTTGGGAAGAGGTGAAGGCATTTTAAAAGCACTTTTTCCATTTCATATGGGATTTTTCTTGGCCCAGAGACACTTGTTCCCTCTTAATTTTCATTGGAAGCTAAAGGTGGGAATGTTGGATCCTTCAGCTCCATCAACATCTATAATCTGTGCTACAATAAGTTGGATTTGGTGGGCTCTTATCCAAAATGTCTTTTGAGCCAGAAGTAAATTTGGGAATGCTGGAGCTCTATCTAGCCCCTCCTACTGAAATACCATGAACAAGAGCCTGAGTGGAGTTTGTGGGGAAATGGGTTAAAGACTTTCTAGGGACCAAATGGGGTACAGTGACAAGACCTGGTAGGGAACTATGGGGAAACACTTGCATCTTGGCAAGTTCACAGTGGAATGGGGTCTGGGTGGAGAAAGCAATGCCAAGCAAAAAGACAAGTTTTTTAGAATAAATCTAGATCTTGTGGTGATAGATGGATAGAGAGAAAAAGAGTGGAGGTTGCATGGGCTTCCTCTGGAAAAAACGGTAATGACAAAAGTATTGTGACTCTTAGTCTTGCTCATCTTCCCTGCTTTTTGACATTGTATCTATAGTGAGACAGATACCTACCCTGCTAGTCCTTGCTCTTATTAATGCCTGAAACGGTGCCTCTTGCAGCAGCTGCTCCCATATGTGCTGACAAGCTTGTGTAAGAAAGGATTTTCTGCATGTTTCTTCTGCCATTTGCTCTCTTCTATTTTCTTCTAGTTTCTCTGCCTTCTCTTTTCCTATTTTTTCTTCTTTTTCCCTGCACTTTGATTCACTTTAATCATCTCTGCTCTATCCCTTGTATTTCACTTATCGCAGAGCTATCTGAGTGCCTTCCCATAGTGCATCAAGGAGTGTGTCACATATGTCTTTAGAGTTTCTTTCTCTCACCATCTTTGTTCTAAAGCTTCAGAGGTGTAGCCGAGTTAGTCTATAACAGGAAGAACTTAGCAACAAATAGACTAGGAGTACCTTAAAGACTAACAAAACATGTAGATGGAATCATGAGCTTTCGTGGGCTGTGCCCACGAAATCTTTGTTCTCTCATGTCATCTCTGCTGCATCAGTCTTAGCATTCATCTCTCTTCATTTTTTCTCTGCTCATGCTCTGCCCTTCATTTTTCCCCTCTTTGTTCTTCCCATTCCTTCCTTCCTTCTCTTGTACACCCTACTTCTCTCTCTCCAACTGTACTCTGTAATTTCCACCACTTTCCCATCCCTCTGTAATTTTTTCTTTGCCCTTGTTTTGTTCCATCTACTCCCATCTTAAACACTTTCATCACTGAAATTTCTGGGTGGTGAATGCTTACCCTCCCTTTCATCCTGTCAAGCCCCTTGCAGTTCCACTCAGCTTCTTGATGACCTAATATTATTGGGAAACAAGCCATCTTGTTCCCACAATGGCATATCTGGTTTGCTTTGCCTGTAGCATTGTGGGAAGTAGACAGTAAAGAGGAGAGGACTGGACCCATAGGACCATGGGAAGTGATGGAGTAGTGTTTCCAGAAAGTGATTCAGAGTGACACTTTGCCTCATACACCCATACTTTCGATCTCGTCTCTTTGTGGTGGAGTTGCCCTAATTCATCCTACCAAGCTATATGTTGGAAATTAACATGAGCCATGAAAACACTTTCTTTTTGGCTTGTACAGATCACCATTTTAAAGCCTCTGTTTCCAATTTACAATTTGACCAGTGAGAGGAAGCAAACTAGATTTCTGTGGCCATGGAGATGATTTTTGTACTTGAAAGTTCACTTACAATAATTGCAAGGTGGCTCCTTGCTGGGGAAGTCTCTTCATGCTTGTTGGCTCTTGGCACAGTGTTGCTCATTAATTCTTTTAAACGGAAAAGTTTGATGGCCAGTCTATGTGATTTATTGAAAGCCATTCACTAATACTACTGAGCTAAGCCATGCAACATTAGATTTAATCTATCTTCTATACTGAAGACACATAGACTCTCTGACATACATGGACATGTTCCAGTAGTACAGTATTATGTTCCAAACATTTCCGATATTCTTGCCAGACAGGTCTGTAAACTTACCTTCTTTTCTGCAAAATTAGGTCTATGCTGATTTGGCCTAGGACAATGTTCTTGCAGTCAATGTCTCTTTCTTTATACATATTTTTAATAGACATTTTAAATAAGCTTGCATGTAGTTGATGAACAGAGAAGTAGTTGTCTCTAAGCCTTGTGGCATTTGTAATGAAATGGGTGAGCTTCCTAGGCGTACCCAATGTAGTCTCCAGTGTACCAGGAGTTGACCATAGTCCTTTTACTGTATGGACATCAGCCTCATGAATACATATAAAGGTGGGTATGCCAATCAACTAGTGGAATACTGTACTTGGCCAGTTTCTTCAGAGCCTATCATGTCACTTTGAAGACCTGACTTTGAGCTTGGCTCTATATGTAGTGAGTCATCCATGGCTAGCAATAGTGGGCAAGGGAACACATACATACTACTCCCTAAATGATTGTTCCTGATGCAGTTTGGTAATGCACAGATGATTTCCCAGAAGTATCTACATCAGAATTATGTTAAACTTTTCCCCATACATTTCTGTTATTTCTGTATGGTTTTTTATTTTTTTTAACCTTTCAATCTACCATTCACATACCTGATGCACGTCAGTATGCCATGAGAGCATGCACAACATAATAAGCTAATTTTCTGTGGAAAATTAAAGTGACCAATTCGTTGTGAATGAGTTGATTGGAATTAAACAACTTTCTTTTATGTACACTCCCTAGCAAAGAGGAAGGGGGGGGGGGCAGGACTCTCAGCTCTTTGCATTTAACACCTTTTGCAGGTGGTGTGATGATAGGGGGCTCTTGAGAGGGAATTTTGATAAATGGTACAAAATGTTCCTTTTTAGAACATTCCTATGTTCTGCCTTTGTTGCATACTGCATACGGGAAATGGGAGAATATAGTAGCATCTTACCCCTGTTGTGCACTAGGGAGTTATTTCAAATGTAGTTATTTCAAAATAATTTCCTAGTGTAGACATGCCCTTAGAGACCAAAGAGTGCTAGAGAGGGGCTGTCAAATGAGCTGGTCCATTCCATCTATAGCTTCGGGGAGCTGTAGTCTGCTTGGTAGAGGTTATGTCCAGCTGTCTCCTCCCTACCCAACAGGTGAGAATGCTTGCTGTTCAGAGGAGCAGCAAGCAACTTGTTGCAACAGCTCACCTGTTCTGTGCTGTTCCCCAAGTAAGACAGGATTGTGCCCTTAATATTTTGGATCTCTTCAATGCACTGTCAAGATTCTATGACAAAGAAAGTGGTATGGAAATGTTTGTATAGTTGGACTTTGTAATTCCCTTTGCAGTAATCTAGCAAACACGATAATTTTCACAAACAAACCTGGATAGTCTCACCCTACGTCTCAGAAAAGATTTCCTTGCAGGGTGCTGTAATAAGGTCTCCTGTTACTGAGACTTTATTATGTTTACAAAATATACTGTGGTCCATTTGCTACTGTAGAAAGTATAACTAACCAAAATGGAATTTGTTTAAGGAGTGAACAAGGTTCATGTTGTGATTCACCATTCTTGAGATTTATTGAGTCTGACCCCTTACTCAGTAATTAGAAAAATTCAGCAATCTTTAGTGCACAATGATCCCAGTTAATAGTGTGAAGTAATGAGATTGTCCTAAACAATTTGTTTAAAAACAAGCCATTCATACATACAGTAATTACAAAAATGGAGATGTTATAGGCAGAAAGGTCTACCAAAGATATTTAAATTGCCCTCATCACCTTAGTATCTGATCACCTTGCATTCTTTTGTATATATATGATCACAACATCTCTATGAGATAGGACAGTGCTATTATACCTATCATACAGATGCGGAACTGAGGCACATGTCTACAGTGCAGGAGGGAAGGAGCTTTGAGGTACTAAGGCTCACACGAGCATGCTAAAATAGTCTTGTGGACATTGCTGGGGCTAGCCATGTAAACTCCAGCTAGTGCTGGTCCATTGGGCTTGAGCTTACATGGCTAGTCTGACCCTCTGACAGAGCTGCAACGTCTACATAGCTATTTTTAGCTTTCTAAGGCAATAGCTGATACCACACATTTGTGTACTTGGCCTGGGAGGTTTGCTCATGTCTGCAGCGTAGGCGTATGCAGAGAGGCTAAGTGACTTGTCCAAGGAAGTCTGTGGAAAACAGGGACTTCAGTGTATGTCTCCCTAGCCTTAGCCTACTGACCCAACCACTGAACAATCCTACCTTGTTGTCCATCCATTGCTATTCAACACCATTAGCTCACACATAGGGTAGTGGTTGAGTGTATAGCTGGTTCTGTTTTTCAGTGGTAGTTTTAGTTCATATGGTTCAGACCTTGAACAAAAAGTCTTTAAGCATTTTCCACACTTTTTAAATTTTTATGTTATTTATTCCTAAATAGTGAAGACCAGATTACTGGTTATCTAGCAGATGTGAGATGTTGTGAAGCTAGTACTTTAACAGGATTCAACAAAGAACTAGCCAAATTCATGGGTAGGTCCATCAATGGCTATTAGCCAGAATGAGTAGGAATGGTGTCCTTAGCCTCTGTTTGTCAGAGGCTGGAAGAGGGGGTCAGGAGAGGGATCATGTGATGATTCCCTGTTCTGTTTACTTCCTCTGGAGCATCTGGACCTGGCCACTGTCGGAGGACAGGATACTGGGCTAGATGGACCTTTGGTCTGGCCCAATCTGGCTGTTTTTATATTCTTGTGAGCCTATTGTGTACAGTTGTGTTATTGTTTCCTGGTGTAAATATAGCACTGTTACTGGTTCAGTGCGGGAACTTGCAAAGTGGGCTTAAAACATTACCACCATTGTGCATGAGTGGAAAATTCTGATTTGGTAGCCTTTTACATCCTCTCCACAGAGATATATATGATTACACACAGTTCAAGGTGGGAGAGACTCAGGCCCACACTACTGATAACTCACACAAACAATTGTTTTGTTTCTGTCAATTCCTTTGAGTAAAAGTATTGGCTGAAAATATTTCACATCTTAAGTCTACACACACACAACTATATAGAATGTATTGATGATTGCTGTTTTAGGCTATTCTTTTCTGACACAAGGCTAAATAATTTTTAGAATCTTAGTACAGTCAATATCTAGAAGCTTTTTAAGTAGCAGTGTTAATACTCGTCATTGTGCATCTCTAAAGCACATTACAAATACTAACCAGTTAATAATCCTGCAACACCCTGGAGAGACAGGGAATTAGGAATTATCCCTGGTTTTAGACAGCACCTAAAATATAGTCCAGCATTTCATACCATAATGCTAAAAGGAATGGGTCATATTAAAGGGAAAATGCACCCTGTCAAAATCTTTCTGTGTGTGCAGCTCCCATTGGTAGTGATCACAGGCAGCTGCATGGGCAGTCAAAGGTAGGATTTGATTCCAAGTGTTTAATGACTTTGGAAGACGAAAGAAAAAAGGCTTTACACACTCTCTTTTCCAGATCACTAGCTTATATACAAAATTAGACATTCAGAGACACTATAGCGGGGTTTTTTTTAGCAGCACTGCAGTTAAAGATCCATTGGACTTTAGGAATAGGGTGGGAGAGCAAAGTAGTTCTAACTGTTGGGAAATTGTATAATTCGTTTTAAGTAGCATGTTGCTTCCTGGTTAGCAACTGAAATTTTGCTAGCATGTGGGGCTTGGCCCTCTTCCCTATGTACACATATTAGGATAGAGTCAGGGGATGACATGTGCACACGGCTGGAACTAGTGATATGGTGACTTTGGCTGTTTTATTTTCATTACAGACGGATTGAGTTATTCAGCTTTCACCAACAGTGAGCAGTTCTTTAATTCTGTTATTACCCTTTTCCCTGCTATTAAAGGGACATTGTCTCATATCTATATATAATATAAACTCCACAAATAAAAATTCCCATACTTGTACTCAATCATTTATATTATTTAAAATAAAAAAGTACAGATTTAAAAATTCCCAATGTGCGTCATTTCTGATGGCTGCTTTTACCATACTTTTCCATACTTTCAGTGTAAATAATCAAAATAGACTAATCTGTTTCCCCTTTGTTCTTTGCACCAGGCGTGGTTCCTGGTCCTTCCGCTAGAACCATGCGGACAGATTCTTGCACTCTTAGTGGAGCCCTACAGCTCTGCCTACATGGATCTGATTGCAGAATCAGGGCCTGGGAATGGCAGGTGAAGGTTTAAGCCAAAATCCATTTCCCTTTTGTTTTGCCCAGAACTGAACGCATCACTGGCACTTTTCAATGACATGAAAAATAATAATAATATACCTCTCTGACTTCTGTAAAGAACCCTAACAAGTTAGTACTAATATTTATTTTAGGGAAAGTTTTTCCTGATTATAATATATCAAACCTATGCATGGAGCTAACCTACTTGACAGTGTCCCTCTAAATAAGAGGAATGCCAAAATAAACTATTAAAAACACTAAGCTGAACAAGCAAGGACACAAATGGACATGTACCACCCTTGGTCTATATGTACCATTCGAAAGGATTTTAGTAAGAGTTACACATGAGGATAAAGGGAATTTTTTCACATTCAGGCTGTCCATCTGTCTTTAACTCCACCCCTTGTCCCAAACATACCTAAACTCTTCTTCACATGGATCTCTTCTTCTTTCCCTGAAGAACGGAGGGTTTGCAACAGTATCTCCTTTTCCCCTGGCCTCCACAAAGGGTGTTTGGTTCTGGGGATCCATAAATGGGAAATAGACAGGCCAGGGGCGGGAGTGGGAATTCAGAGGGACAGGCATCATCCCAGGGTTGTTATCTTTATACTTCATACCCCTCTTCTGCGTGGTAGGATCACACTCAAAGGTGATTTCTGGGACTATTCGAGCTGCAGCAAAACCATGCTGGATAGGAAGCTGGTGGAGTTGGGACTCACAAGACTTCTCTGTGGATAGTTCCCACCCCCACTTTCCCAACAGACTGTCTGGCAGAAAACTGTGAGAGGAGATCTTCACCAATATCTCCTCTCTCTTAGCCCCCTTCTGTGGGACTTCCTGGAGAAAGAATGAGAAGGCTCTCTGCACCTAGACAGACCGGGGCTGATGCTGCTCACAGTGAAATCAGTCAGTGTGAGTTCAGCGAGAGCAGGGCTGAGTCAGTTAAAGGTGATAACATGAGACACTCTCTGATACCTAAATAGTGGGGCTTCCGTTTGTAAGATCAGAGCCAGGGGATATATTATCACAGTAATGTCTGTGTGTCTGCATCGGCATGAGCATAGGACTTCTAATGCCATTTTGAAATGTAATAGAGATATCACTCAGTACCTGGATTTGATAGAAATATTCTTGGGGGTTAAAATATTTGTACTGATATTTAGTTTGAGATAAACTACCAGGGTGTTTTATTTTAAAACAAGTCCTATACATGGGATAGGCACCATTTCCCCTGGAGAGAAGCCTTGGCAATTTAGCCTCAGTAGATGAACTTTGCAGCTCTTGTCTCAGTCATAGGCAGAGAGATAATAGCTAGACAATACAGGAGATAAATATAGTTCTAGCTACATTCAGATAAATATACTCTTTGCACATTGATATTGTTACTTTTAAAAATTATGTTTTAGTACAATACAATTTGTTTTTATACCTTCATAACAATGTGAGGGAACATTCTGCAGAGAGACTGGGGCAGAAAGTGGAGTCAAAACACTTTTAGGGTGAGGAAGATTTTCTGGAGAAAGAGTGGCAAATCTTTCAGAGAGAGGGTAAAGTTCTCTCCTGCTGGTGCAGTAGAGGAGCTGTGTGGGAAGACGAGAAGAGCAGGATGTCATGCATAGAGTCTTTATCCATTGTGGTGCATGGTGGGAGGAGGGATGGACCAAAAAATGGCCTGGGCTGGTGAATCTGATATTATACACATTGTCTTGTCAGTTCTGTTCCTATCCTGACATGTACTTTTCAGGAGCTGTGAGGAGGTGCATGAACACAGTAGACTACTAAAACCCTGTGACTGTTTTCTCCACTGTCTGGAGAACAAGTTTCCTCTCTTTCATCCCATTTCCTCTTCCTATCCCAGTGCACAGTCTGTTTGCTTAGGCAGTTGAAGGATAGACAAAAATGCTTTACGTGCTAAGCAGAGAACAAGTCACACAACTGGGCACAACCTGTGGAGTTACTGTAGCAAAGCGAGCTGTTCTACCTACATGCATTCAGTACCCAAATATACCTAACTGAGACTGTGCTGAATTTGTGTCTTTTGCTTAAAAAAAAAAAGCTGGTTTTTAAATGCTACTCTATTATATTAAATTATTTCAGGTTTGGTTTCAAAATGCCCGAGCCAAATTCAGACGGAACCTCTTACGTCAAGAAAACACAGGAGTGGATAAGACTTCAGATTCCACACTCCAAGCAGGAACCCCATCAGGACCCGCCTCAGAAATATCCAATGCCTCCATGAGTCCATCTAGCACTCCCACTACTTTAACAGACTTGACTAACCCTACCATGCCTACTGTGACAGCTGTCTTGACGTCAGTGCCCGGAAGTCTTGAGGTTCATGAATCTCGAAGTCCTTCACAGACAACTCTCACAAATCTTTTCTGATGACTCTTTCTCAATAATTTCTTTAAAAAAGAAATTATTCTTAGTTGAATTCCAAGAGTATTTTAATAGAGGCTTTGAGCAAGTGACTAACCACACTTAGGATCTCTCCTGAAAACAGAAGGAAATGTATTGTTCTGATATTAGAGTTTGGACTGAAGAATAACTTGGAAGATCTATCTGCAACACAACATTTGTGTAACTGTACAGTTTTGTGGACTGAGTAAGGGAAACAGCAATTAATTTAAGTTGGCTAAAGCTTCTGTAATTTTCAAAGACTGCCATGTGCCTTATATACTGTTTTATCTACGTACTTTGGAACATGTCCATTTCTCTCTTTTTCTCTCTGTATATTTATAACAAAGGGCAAAAATGTTGCAAGAGTTTGTTACTTTGAATAGTCCTATGCCCTTTATTGGTTGCTTTGTTGTTTTAGAATTTTAAGGTGAAAGTCTGTTTGAATATCAGAATTTGTAAAATCTAACCAGTAATAAAACCACTTGTGGAAACTACTTGGTAACAGCCGCAGTTACATTTAGCATTAATTTCACAGTGCAGGTAGGCTGATTGTATTTAAATTGATTAGAAAATGGCACATCAAATACAGTATCTGCTTAGAGTAAACTCTAAATATGATACACATCTGCCTCCTAATTCCTAAACATATGGGTGAAAAATCCAGTTTGTAAAACAGGGTCTAGATATTTTCGTTATAGAGAAATAAATAAATGTTAGTTGATGCTAAAAATTGTTACTGAACGTTATAATTTACACAAACTGCTTAATTTTGTTGGTGAAACTCAGTTTCACTTCAGTTAACATTGAAAAGGAAACGAATATGGCTTTTATGCAACCAAAGGTGTCTGTCCTATATTGTGGCCAGGCAAGCCAGACATCTGAAAGCAGTGTAGGCACAGTCAACCTATTTCTGAGACCACATTGGGTAATGTTGTCCCCTAGAAACAAAGACAAAAATATTTGTTAGATTAATTTAAAACCCTGGCAGATAACATTGAAACAAAAATATATTTCACAAACATATATGGCCTTTTTAATGGTTTGAAGGTATAAAAAAGCAGGTAAGAATATATTGTTATGGATACTAATAAAAATGGCTATTCCTTAAACGATAATGGACCTGTTCAATTTAATTCCTTCTCCAGTTATGAGACCTTTGCTCTTCTGAATATCATTTGTGCTGTGAGCTCCTTCTCCTTTTTTTTTTTTTTTGAAAGATAATCTTTCATTCTTTATGGAGAAAAATAAGTATGCTTCAGCAAGGTTTACGTTTGAGTTTGAATGCTGTAGTCTACTTGCCCAATGGTTTATTTAATACAGACTATGAGCTGTCTGTGCCATCTATAAGGTTGTTTCTTTTCAATCTTGTTGCAAGGTTCTTCAGTCAGATGTGTTAGGTTGTATGTGGCTGACTTAGTAAACACTGCTTTGTTGTTCCCATAGGATTGAAATTGGCAAAAGATTATTCCAAATTAGCAGCAAGATAAATGCTAAAATTCGTGTTCTTTCCTCCTTTCAGTGTACTGAAAATGATTCATTAGGCCAGGCTCCGTGCAAACAGTGTTTTGGTTTTAAAGTGCTATATTTATAAAGGTTTCTCAGCTGAAAGCTTGCCGACCTTGCGCATGCCAAATTCCTACTGAGGCCAGTGAGAGAACTGGGTGCACAAGGCCTGTGAGACTGGGACCCTGATGTATTTAAGATATTTATTAACCTTTCTTGCTCTTCAGTTCTGGTAAATAAAGATGACTAATCTGAAAAACAAGAAAGTCCCCATAGGAAATCATGACTGGATAAGATTTTTGATGGGGGTTGTATTCTCATCCCTAAAAAACAAACAGTTTAACCTTGTTCATTAAATTTGTACACTGTTACAAATATATGTTTAGCTTCCCCTCTCCCTTGCAGGTTGAGTTAGCAAACTTTACTAGACACCCCATAGCAAAAATGTCTAAAAAGGAAATAATATTGGTTAATGGATTATTAAAAGGTATGCTTCTACCTTTTCAAAAGGGTATTCAGACACAGATATCCTGCTGTATGTGGTTTGTTCATTGTCAATTACCTCGAGTATTTTATTTTTCTTAAATGCTTTAGTTGGATTTTTTCTTGATTTAAAAGGCAATGTTGGTTGGGTATGAAATGGACACAGGCCATAAATAAAAGCCTGTGTATTCCTGTGTAAACAAAATGGTTTTCAAATCTTACTATTATATTCAGAAGTGCTGCAGCAAAATGTAACCGTTAACAATTTGGAGAGAGCTTCTGGTTGTTTCTGGTATTTTGGTTTTTTGATCTTTTGTTTTAACTACCTGAATCCACATAATTGAAATCAGCTCTCAATATTGCCTTTTCAATAGCTGAGACTGATGGAGGGGAATAATCTCATGTTTCTATTATCTAAAACCTAAACCAGACAATTAAATCAATTGTCTGGTTTAATCAAATCAGGGATTTTGCATATAAGTAAGATACAATATTCTATATAGGGCCTTTATGTAGGGACATTGGGATTCACTCACTGTCTCCAATGACCTATGTTGTCCCCATGATTGTTTCAATCCTGTGGTATTGTTCAGTTGTTTAGAGCTTGTTGGTTTCAAATGCTGTACATTTTTTTTACTACTGCAATCCTAATGTTTCTTCACATACTTGTACAGTTCCACATTTGATGTACTAGTCTGAAATTCTGTTAAAAACATGAACAAAAATGGAAATGCTATTTCTTTGGAAGTGTATTTTTACTGTAAATCTAATTTGAACTAGTTGAACATACTTCTTTACATCTTGCATGATAGGTGTGTAGTTCATTTTTTAAATATGAAAGAGACTTGAGAGTAACTTAGATCAAAAATATAATGAAAACTATACAAATATGGAAAATACATACATTTGATTTGCTACATTTTGACTCAAGATACTTTTTGAAATACATTTCTCTAGAGTATTTAAGATAACGCAGGTATTTTGTCTTTTAATTCCTACATAATACAAAATAGTAAAGTGGATTACACAACAGAGAGGTTTTTCAAGCCAGCATGTAATTTTATTGAAACACTTGATTGCTTCCTCAGTCAAATAGAAAGAAAGAATCTTAAGATCTTAAGAATGATGTCCAAATCTCTCTGTATTTAAAGTAAAATTCCTTAGCGATTGTTCTTATGAAATATTATCACAATTTAAAACTTGCTGATACAGTTCACTTTTTCATTTCAGACATTTCAGTCTCCTCTCAAAGAAAATAAGTATTGCATGTTTAGGGAGGATATACTGTATCTTCATCTATAACAAAGAGTCTGAATGTCTGCTTTATGAGCAGAAGTTACCACAACCGTAAATGTTATGGGTGCAACTAATGCTTCCATAATAAAACATATTGTTTTGGAAGACAAGCCTGTAGGTATTTGAAAAGTGCATATTTCAGTGTTTTCCTGCAAATAGGTATGGTATTTTTGGTGCTTCGCCTTCCAAGATAAATATGACATATGTTTAAACAAGTAACTAGAAAACAGAATTAGGCATGTGTAGCCGCCACCTCCCTTAAAAACCAAAAAGGAGAGAAATAAGAAAGCAAAACAAGAGTGACTTTTAGAGGGAGTATTGCTGATACCAGACTTAGATGCTGATAGAGAACTGAGAACCAGTACCAGCTACAGATGCTTCAGTGAAACATCCCGTGTCAAGACACTACAAGGGACAGGGGCTTTAGTAACGGTTAGAGAGGGAGATTTTTAATGAATGCCGATAAGTTGAATTAATTCATTACTTCTGATTCTGCATTAAATTAGCATTAACTCCATTACTGTTTTCCAAATGCAGCTGGATTAAAATTACTCTGTATGGAAAATTCAGGATGTACAGAAGGAAGGGGCAAGAATGTCAGTGTTTAGTACATTGTGAAGAGACTAGCATGGGCATTTGGAGTAAGGATATTTTCTCCTGTTCTTTCCTCCCACCTTTTTTTTAACCTCAGTTCTGGGTACCCTCTCCTACGGTAAGCCCCATTGAGAACTGCAAATAGGGAACCTAGTTTATCATTTCCTGAGGGTAGGAAGACCTTGGAGTTGGTGTCACTGACAGATACACCATTTCTCTGCTTAACCGCCTGCTCATGGGCATCCTGCACATTCAGACTTGTAAACACTTTCTCTTTGCATTGATGATTCTGGCTGGATCCATAGCTCTTGGAGTTATTCACTATGGGTATGTCTAGACTTCATCCCTCTGTCTGCAGAGGGATGCAGAGTAGACAGGTCGACATTGCAAATGAGGCAGGGATTTAAATATCCCTTGCCTAATTTGCATAAAAATGGCAACCGCGTTTTGCCGACTCAGCACTTTGTCGGCAAAAAGCGGCAGTCTAGAGGGGGGATCTGTCGAGAAAGAAAGCCTTTTTCGACAGATCTTGTAAACCTCCTTGAAGGAGGCATAAGGGATCTGTCGAAGAAGGCTTTCTTTCTCAATAGATCCCCCTCTAGACTGCCGCTTTTTGCCGACAAAGTGCTGAGTCAGCAAAACGCAATTGCCATTTTAATGCAAATTAGGCGCAGGATATTTAAATCCCTGCCTCATTTACAATATTGACCTGCCTAATCTGCATCCCTCTGCCAACAGAGGTATGCAGTCTAGACATACCCTAAGATCCTGAGTCCACTGACTAGCTTTGGAAAGTTTCAAGTTGACTTGGGAACTATTCAAAGCTCAAGCATCTATATAGGTTTAAATTAGAGAACTAAGAGATCTGCTTCCATTTAGTTCCAGCATCTTATATGGAGTCTTCAGCAATAAAAATCAATTGGTCAAAAGTTTGCTATAGAGGTTGTGTTGAAATGATGTGTATTGCAGCAGTATATGGAACAAGGAAGGTCCTGACCATTCATCCAGACAACACATTGAATGAATGATATAGAGCAAAAAAAGGCCAATTATTTGGGTTTACCAGTGTTGCACTTCCAAGATAGTTCAGCTCAACAGTTTAAGGAGCA